AGTTCTCTTGTAATTTATAAAATCATCAAAAGAATGTGATTTTTTAACTTTTCTTAAAGCTCTGTTTCTGGTTTTAACTACTTCACTACATGTTTCTGTCCACCATGGTACAGCCTTTTTCATTTTTGCCTCTTTACTTTTCCCTATTATCTCTTCTGCTGAACTACACAGAATCATATTTATTTTATTATTCAATCCAATAACTGAGCGCAGCGCAAACACGTGCAAACTGATCAGTGCTCAGAACAGCTGATTGACTGCAGACTGCTGCGAGATCCAGTGAGTAAATAATAAATAATACATCAAGTTACCACTTTAACCAGTAGAAAGCAGCAGAGGAGCACTTATTGGCTTATTAGTCATTCATTTTTACTTTTTGCTTCATGTTTTGAAATGATAAATTCACTATTATAAAATATCAAATCATCCAGAAAAGTCACATCAAGCGTGTTTCTTAATCTCTGAAGTTGCTGGTCAGTTCAGTATAATACTGTAGAAGAAGAATGGCACACAGTGGCAGCTCTAGCTTGTGTGGAGCTCTGGGCAAAGCCTTCTGCCTCCTCTAAAGGAAATTGATTGTTGTTGTACTATGTGTAATAACGGGCAAGCAAAACACCATACCATTAGTAATAATATTAGCCTTTTTTAGTAAGATGAGTGATATTTTGCACATTTTCCCTCTTTTTTTTCTTTTGTGACGTATAATAAAGTGAAAATTTAATGAAAAGTGTCAATTGTGGCATTAATTGTGTTTGAGTTTATTTGGAACAATAGAACTGAATATGTGAAAAGGAAAACTATTATTAGAACTTTTTCAGAGGGTGGGCTTAATGTCCTTGATTTTAAGCACTCTTAATATTATTTTTAAAATCAATTGGATTAAACATTGCTTGGCCCAGAGTAAATCTATATGGTTTTGTATCCCCAACTTGTTTGTTGAAAAGTGTGGTGGGTTATCCTTTCTACTATCGTGTGACTTCAAATACAGTAAACTTCCCATAAAATCATCTAACTTTCATAAGCAATCACTAGAAGCATGGAAAATAGCCTTTAAACATAATTTTTCTCCACACACATGCATACTATGGAATAACCAATTTGTGTTGTCTAAAAACAAGAGTATATTTAAAAAAGAATGGTTTGATAAGGCAATTATATTTATTTCAGACTTACTGAATATAACGGTGAGATTTATACTTATCAGCAATGTGTTTCTTTCTCCTAAATTGCTTTACCGTGTGAAAATACTTCTGTTATAATTCAGCTGTCCGACAAATTCAAAATCTTGTTATTGGAGGTATTAATATCATGGATATTAAGTGTAATAACTCACATATTAGAACATGTCTTACTCGTGATGCCAGCTGTCACCCAAAAGCACTCATAAAGTGGAAACCATTCTTCTTCATACCTTCCACTGAGAAAAATATGGTCGGCAACTAATACATTTTTACTGCCTAATAAGGCAAAGGAAATAGATTTTAAGATATTGCATAGGTACTATCCCTGTAACACATTTATGAACAAGTTTAGAAAAGATGTCTCACCAAAATGTTCTTTTTGTAATTTAGAAAATGAAACACTTACACATTTATTTTGTAACTGTAAATATTCTGAAGACTTTTGGAAGCAGGGGTCTATGTTGGTTTTTGATATGTTTATAAAATAATTAAAATAGATGAATTTATGATCCTTTTTTTGAACTGTAATACTGGATCAGATGTAGTTGATAACACTTTAAAGGTGATAATTCTTCTTGGGAAGTTCCACGTACATAAAGCAAAAATAATGTCTATTACTCCCTCTTTTAAGTTGTTCTGTAAAGAACTTAAAATATTTTATGACTCATTAATTTCAATCACTAGGAACAAGAAATGTATAAAAAACGTCTCTCATATTAAAAAATGTTATTTGTAAAATTTTATGTTTTAACCTCCATGATGTATATTTGTTATATGTATCCCCCATTTTTATTTGTGTTCTGTTTGACGTTAAGTATCTCTGTATCTTTGTTTTTGAGAGAGAAAAACAAACTAAAGAGTGAAGCAGAATGAAGTTCAGATGCAAACACTGAAGCACAGCAAACAGAATGCCAATAACAAAGAAACTACATTTTAACACTATCAACCACAAATAATATTACCATATAGTCTAGGCATAATAAAAGTACAATTACTATACTGTGCACTTACTCAGTATAATTTTCCAGCGAACTCAAAACTGAACGACACTCGCGTGTCTTTCTTGTGCAAGATGGCGGTGATGCAGCCACAGTCCTAAACGAAAATCGAAACAGTTTCAAACATTTCCGCATCATTACTCCAGTCACACATGTTCCTTCAGAAATCATTCTAATATTCTGATTTGCTGCTCAAAAACATTTATTATTATTATTACTATTATTATTGTTGTTGTTGAAAACAGCTGAGTATAATTTTTTTCAGGTTTCTTTGATGAATAGAAAGTTCAGAAGAACAGCATTTATCTGAAATAGAAATCTTTTGTAACATTATAAATGTCTTTATCTTCACTTTTGATCAATTTAAAGCATCCTTGCTAAATAAAAGCATTAATTTCTATAATCCCCCCCCCACTAAAATAAATAAATAATTAAGCATGTTGATAGAAACTATATTTTTACATTAGCAATCACTAATATTTCCCATGTGATTTTATATCATAGATGCACATAAAAAGGACAAAGGACATTCTATATCTGAGAAACTAAATTATTATTGGTAAGCACGTTTGAACATATTTGGGAATTTCACTAGACATTACTTTTATATCATGTAAACAATTACTTTTATATATTGTTTATAGTATTGAACATAAAACCATCCTCACGCCGTACATTTATATGTACTGAAAGGTTGCCTGTCATATTTCTAAATGCTGCATTTGATTTCACACATTTTAGTCTGGAATATAGTTTGGGAAAAGTTCAACTAGTAAATGTGTTCAAGTTTATGCCACAACAACACATTATCTAATGCAAATAAGAAACATTACTTACTCGGCATGAAAGATCTCCTCTGATGGCTCCAGCCGCGCTCGCGTTCTGTTTGTGAGGTAAACATAAATCTTTTTCCTCTCAGCGCGTCTTCTGAGGTAAATACAAGGCTTGCACTACCATTGAGAATGAATGTGAAACGGTTTAGGGCCGTTTAGCTACCACGGCCAGCATTTTACCTTTTTTTATTCGTCAGAAAATTGTGCTCAAAGCATACAGCAAGTATAGTCTATATGTAAAGAAGCAAAACAAGCGCGTTAATATGGGAAATCAGATTTAATCAACAATAAAAACCAACTGCTCAGTTCAGCTGATAGGCCTACAGCTACACCAGTTCACCGGTTAATAAATCACTATAAACGAAATAAAGCACTTCCTGTTATTCGTGTTATTTGCAGAAAGGGTAGTTTCTCCCAACATTTAAAAGACATAGACTAATACACAACAAACGAAAAGGAGAAAAAGGAATATGATCGGACCTCGGACTCCTGTCACTAAAAGCAACACGTGTTTGAAAGGAACTGAATTGCACCAATTACTTTTACGGTGTCAACCGTCTGAGGGTTGATTACCACAGTGGATGTCCAATGACCATGAGAGAAATGAAGAGCAGTCAGTTGTACTAAATTAATCTTTAAGATGTTGAATAGCAATAATCAGATACACTGTGTACATATTCACAATCAAAGAAATCACAACAATGCAAAGAAACATCCATATAAAGAGCATAGGCCTGTGCAAAATAATGGGCTTTTTTACAGTATGGCCTCAATGAACGCAGACCATGGCACTACAGAAACGTGATACCTACAGCACACAGCTCACTGCATTTCACAAACACAAAGGATGATAAATTTGCGCACATAAGACAAAGACGAAGATACACATGTACCAATGAAAAAATAAAAATAAAAAAAATCACATGATTAGAAAGTCCAAATATTGGTCGCAATAATATTGAAAAAAAAAAAAAAGTCAGGGTCCTTAAAGTGGATCGCCATTCAGATCGCCATTCTACTACACATGTCTGAACGCCTTCTTCGTGCCCTAGGTA